AACCTGCAGCTCTCAGAGCCTGGTCTAGACTTGCAGTGGGAATAAAGCAGCATCCCAGTGCCCCCATTCCTATAAAAACCTCCCTGGGAATGCTGGCAGCGGGATCCAGCCCCACAAAGGAGCCCTTTTCTCCCAGCTCCCCTTTCCCTCCTGCTCCCAGAAAACCCTTCTGCCCTGTCACAGTCGAATCTGGGGATACCAGGAGCTGCTCCAAGCTCCAGAGGGTCTTGGAGCGGATGGGAATTCGGGGTTAGGTGCCTGTGGAAGTGCAGGTTGGATCCACGAGGCAGGAATTCCTCTGGCACAGCAGGAACACTGCTGTTATCCCATGGGAATGGGCCAGAGAGATGCCACCAGGCACCTTCATGGAATCCCAGGATGGTTTGGGTGGGAAGGGACCTCAAAGCCCATCCAGTTCCAACCCCAGGGACACCTCCCACTATCCCAGGTTGCTCCAGCCTGGCCTTGGACACTTCCAGGGATCCAGGGGCAGCCACAGCTCCTCTGGGAATTCCATTCCAGCCCCTCCCCTTCCTTCCCCATATCCCATCTAACCCTGCCCTCTGGCACTGGGAAGCCATTCCCTGTGTCCTGTCCCTCCACGCCTTGTCCAAAGTCCCTTTCCAGCTTTCAATTCCAAATCCCTGGAACTCCCAGTTTTTCTTCCCAAGGTTATCTCAGCTCCAAGAGCTGTGGATTTCCCAAAGGATTGCTCCAGGATTTGGGATACCCTGTGAGATGTGACCCCCCATGTCCTCCCTCCTTCCTCTGCCTGGAATTCCAGACTCCACAGGGAAAAACACAGCACAGCCCCCACCCCTCTCCTCTCTCCCTAAATAAATCCTGTCTCCCTAAATAATCTTGGAATTCTTCAATGCCATGAATTAGCCTCTGTCGTGCAGGGTGAGAATGGAAAGCTCTTTTTTTATCCCCACCACCCACCCTTTTCCCTCATTCCCACAGGATTCCATAACATCTTCCCCGTGCCCGAGGCTCCCCTTTCCCTGCTGCGTTTTCCATGGCTCCACTCCCTTTTCCATGGCAAAGACGTGGAGCCAGGAACTGCTTCAGCTGCCACAGCCTGGGCAGCAAATTGAGTAGAAAAAAAAAACCCCACAATTCGATTTTCCCGTGTTTAAAAAATGCCAAAAGAAAAGAAGGATAAAAGGAAGAGAAGGAAAAGAAGGGGAAAAAAAAAACACCCAAAGAAATGATGGTGTAAATCCAAAGTGACACCGAGCCCGGGCGAGGGAGAGAATCCCATCCAACCCTTCCCTAATCAGCCAGGCCAGAGCTGGGATCTTCTCCAAGGCACATTGTATTCCCCAAAAACATCCCCTTGGCAACCAGAAGGGTTTTTCTGGGAGCAGGAGGGAAAGGGGAGCCGGGAGAAAAGGGCTCCTTTGTGGAGCTGGATCCCGCTGCCAGCATTCCCAGGGAGGCTTTTATAGGAATGGGGGCACTGGGATGCTGCTTTATTCCCACTGCAAGTCTAGACCAGGCTCTGAGAGCTGCAGGTTGGAGCCCAGGAGGTTTAAAATCCCGGGATCCGGGCAGGGATGTTCCCTGGCTGCCCTGGCAGGGATGTTCCCTGTTGTGTGGAGCAACAATTCCAGGCAGGAGGGATCCCTGGTCAGCAGGATTTCGGGATCTGCTTTGCAGGACTCGCAGCCCATCAGGCCCTGCTTCCCACACAGGAGGAGGAGGAGAAAGCTCCAAGGATTCTCACTGCCTGGAATTCAAAACAGCTCCAGAGTGAAGGACACAGATAAGCTCTGGGAGCTTCTCCCACGTTCCCATGTCGGGGGACATCCTGCCTCCCCCCTGCACAGCTGGACACACTCATGGAATCATGGAATCATGGAATGGCTCGGCTGGGAAGGGACCTCTGAAGGTCATCTGGTCCAACAGGAACATCCTTTGATATCCCATGTTGCTCCAGCCTGGCCTTGGACACTTCCAGGGATCCAGGGGCAGCCACAGCTTCTCTGGGAAATCCATTCCACCCCTTCCCACCCTCCCAGCCAGGAATTCCTTCCCTGTATCCCATCCCTCCCTGCCCTCTGGCACTGGGAAGCCATTCCCTGTGTCCTGTCCCTCCATCCCTTGTCCCCAGTCCCTCTCCAGCTCTCCTGGAGCCCCTTTAGGCCCTGCAAGGGGCTCTCAGCTCTCCCTGGAGCCTTCTCTTCTCCAGGGGAACCCCCCCAGCTCTCCCAGCCTGGCTCCAGAGCAGAGGGAATCCAGAATCATGGAATCCCAGGATTGTCTGGGTGGGAAGGGACCTTAAAAACCTCCAGTGCCACCCCTGCCATGGGCAGGGACACCTCCCACTATCCCAGGTTGCTCCAGCCTGGCCTTGGACACTTCCAGGGATCCAGGGGCAGCCACAGCTTCTCTGGGAAATCCATTCCAGCCCCTCCCCACCCTCCCAGCAGGAATTCCTTCCCAATATCCCACCTATCCCTGCCCAGAAAACAGGGAATGGGACTGCTCAGGAGCAGGTGGACAGGGACAGAGGATGAGCCCGGAATGCAACTCCTCCCCCACCCAAACCAGGCTGTTTGAGGTGCCTGGCAAAGGCTTTTCCAAGGAATTCTAGGAACAGGGACCAACCTTGGCCGCGTAGTGCAGGGCCGGGATCCGCAGGGAAGTGGCTCTTCCGTTGACATCCACCCCCAGCTCGGACACCAGGAACTGGATGGATCCATCCTGGGCTGTCACAGCTGCCCTGTGCAGGGCCTGAGCTCCCAAGGCATCCGTGGCTGTGGGACAGGCCTGGAATTATGGAAAGTCATGGAATTAACACACAGGGACAGGCCTGGAATTATGGAAAGTCATGGAATTAACACACAGGGCACTCAGAGCCTGAGCTCCCAGGGCATCCATGGCTGTGGGATAGGGCTGGAATTATGGGAAGTCATGGAATTAACACACAAAGCACTCAGAGCTGAGCTCCCAGGCTGTGGGACAGGCCTGGAATTAGGGCAAGTCATGGAATTAACACACAAAGCACTCAGAGCCTGAGCTCCCAGGAGATCCATGGCTGTGGGATAGGCCTGGAATTAGGGAAAGTCATGGAATTAACACACAGGGACAGGCCTGGAATTAAGGAAAATCATGGAAGTGACACACAGGGCACTGAGAGTCTGAGCTCCCAC